TTTTCTTATACATTTTTCTATGTTGTTTTCTTATACATTCTTCTAGTCATTGCATAAATTGTTTACTTGGTTCTGCCTGCTCTCAATCATTTGTCTTCTGTGTCTTTTTCAATTAGCCAGTGCTACAGCTGTAACTTTCTACCTCCAGAAATGAGGCTATTATGAATCATCATTATTACCATCATCATCATTATCATTATTACTCATATGCTTGAAACTACCAGTATAACTCCCATTTCTGGAAACACCTTTCCTTGGTGGGAAAAATAATTTGAATTACTACATTTTATTGTAACCATTTTTTAATCCATATTATAAGGGACAGCTAGATGGCACAATTAATAAGAGTACTGGGTCTGGAGTCCAAAAGACATGAGTTCAAATCCAGCTTTAGATACTAGCTTTGTGACTCTGGGCAAGTTACTTAAGCACTGTTTGCCTTAGTTTCCTCATTTGTAAAATGATGATAACAGTAGCACCTTCCTCTGACAGTTGTTATGAGAATCAAATGAAATAATCTTTATTTAGAGCAGGGCCTGGCACATTAATAAATGCTATATAAATATTAGATGCTAGATATTATATGAGTGAATAGCTCCCTTTAGGTGATATTTGCTTATAACTCCATAACTTGCATGCTAAATGTTCAGTGAGTTTCTTTATTTTCTTGTAACTTTTGCAAAAGGGCTTGCCAACCCCCATCTGAACTCTTAGATAACAGTAGCCTATTTCAAGGTTGTTCTAACAATAGATGTTAGTACCTAACCAGAACAGAACACCTGTCATAAGAAAACTACCACCTCCCAAGGTCACTAACTGTGTATGATGATAGTACTAACTTTAAGGATATTGAGTATCTGTAATGTATACCAAGGGTAAGTTTCTCAGAAACACCAGCCCTGAGCTCAGAAAAATTCCTTCTGCAAGTTCAGGCACTCTGAACCGCTGGCTTTCAATAAAACTTGAAAAGCAGGTTCTGAAGAAGTAATGTCAAAACTAAAACATTTTTCTCTCTAATAAAAAGAACAATGCAGTCTCAAATCATGCGGCTGCTAAACACTCATCCTGTGATCCTCATATAGGTACTAGGACTTATATCAGTATGGAACACTGGGGACTTTACAGGCAGGAAGCTGTGTGCCTTGTCTCTAAGCACCTGAAGGATCCTTTGCAATTTTCTTATTCCCTGCACTCATTACTCATCTGAAATCTGGCCAACTCTGCCTTAAATCCTTCAATAATTGCTACTTACATATGCATAAGTTGTGCATTAGGCTTTGTTTTCACGTTTTAGTGGTATGGAGGTAACGTTTATAACAAAAGTATCAATTTAGAGAGCATTTGCTGCTGAATGTTGAGAGAACCAGTGGGAGATACTGAACCCCTCTCTGATTCTTGGAGTTAGTCCTATTAATCTAGGATATGTCCCCACTCTCTCATAATTGTTTAATCTCTCTATACAGTACAATTTGTCTTGAGTCCCAAAAAGAAGAGATAGCCCAAGGATTAAATGTGAATTGGGAAACAGGCTATCCCACCTAGTTCTCAGATAAGGTGGAGGGGGGGAGACCTTTGAATGGAGCAAGTGAAGTAAAAGAGTATTTCTTCTTGGTGCAGTGGATAGAATGATAAGCCAAGACTCAGGAAGCCCTGAGTCCAAATCTGACCTCAGACACTTACTAGCTTTGTGACCCTAGGCAAGTCATTTAACTTCTGTTTGCCTTAGTTTCCTCAAATGTAAAATCAGGATAATAATAGCATCTATTGCCCAGGGCTGTTGTGAGAATCAGATGAAATAATATTTATAAAGTTGTTAGCACAGTGTCTAGCACATTGCAGACACTTAATAAATTCTTATCCCTTTCCTTCTACTGCTAGAGGGTCAGGTCTTCTCAGGATGCCCCTGTATCCCCCATCCTGGGAATTCTTCCTCCCAAGGTGCTTAAACTTCTCCTCATAGTAGACTCCAACAGAGTGGTTAACCTTGGGGTCAGGGTATAGCTGAACGGTCCCTCTCCCTTCTCAGCTTCTTACCCTGAATCACAAGACTAGGGGATCCTCCCCTGGGAAAGGCCACTTCCCCTAGTTCTCCAAGAAAAGCAAAATGTCAACAACTTGAGTGAAAAAGCACTGAGCTAAAATTTAGGAGACCTGCATTCCTCCAATCCAGTCCCGGCTTTGAAACAAATTCTAGCCCTCTGTTTCCCATTCCACAAAATACAAGATTTGTACAAAATGGCTTCTCGGGTCACTTCCAGCTCTAACATGATGTTTTGAGTCCTCTTTCTGCCCATTTCCCCAAGGTATTAATCATGAGGATTACCACTCTAACCTACCACCTAGTAATAAGGCTTCCTGGATACCAATTGTGAGGAAATAATTTACCTTTGCATTTTGTTGTGTGTATATATATATATTTGTATGTATGTGTATGTGTGTGTATATATATATATATATATACACACGTGTGTGTATACATATATACATGGATATAGATAAAGATATAGATATCATATATATCCTCCCCCCCTCCATCAGACCTGCAATGGTGTAGAAAATTCCCAATAAGAAAATTTCTGTACCAATGCAGTTAGAAAACAACTCTTCACCTTAGAGACTTAGAGATGGGGATGGGGTATGGTGAGGGAGTTGGGAAGGGAAAAGGATGGAATGTGTAAAGGAGAAGTTAAATGATTTGCTTATGGCAGTATTTTAATTTAGTCATTCTTGATTCCAAGTTCAGCATGTTATCCAAACTGATAGTCTCTTAGTATCTATGCCTCTAAGTCTTGTCCCTATTATATCCTTCACCAAGACTACTGCCAAAATACTTTTCTTGCTACATTGCTCTGATATAGTCTCTTCTGCACTCAAAAACCTTCAGTGAATACCTATTGCCTATGAAACAAAACCTTAACTCTTGAACAAGGTTATGCCTATTGTGCCAAGCTGTTAATTTCCTTTGCAATTCTCTCTTCCATAGTTCTCATTCTTTTCCAGTTTTTTTCATCATGTTCTCATTTCATTTATTTAAAAAAAAACTTTTCTTAACTATTTCTGTAGCACACTTCACTTTCAGGAATTACAGTTGAATTTGTTCTTATGCTGTGTTTTTCTCTGAATTTTCTCTTTGCTTGTAGATGTTTTGGTGTTTTTCTCTGAATTTTCTCTTTGCTTGCAGATGTTTTGGGGTCATCGTCTCCTAGGTTTGTGACTTAAGTGTACCTGTCACCATAATAGCTTTTCATGATGGGATTCTTTTTTTTTCCTCAAAATTCTTCCTGTCTATTTCTTGATTTCATACTTTAGAGTAGGGCCAAGTTTTGGAGGGTTCATCCTCACTTTTCCTTCTTAGGATATTGACTGTTGTGTTTTTTTCAGTATCTCAGACTGGTCACCTGCAAGTAAATCTGAGCTTGGAAGACCTCTCAGTCTGGATCCAACCTACCTTTCCAATCACTACTCTCCATGCTGGCCAAAGTGGATCATGCATTCTCCTCTCATTCTTACCCTGCTGTGTTCCATCTCCTTGCTTTTGTTCACCATGTTGCTTACCCAGGAATGAAACCCTCCTGCACCTACCTATTTTAAAAATCTCTTCCTTCCAGACCAATTTCTAGTGCAACCTCTTCCAAAAACATTCATTCGTCTCTCCTGAAAGTAGTTGTTCCCTTACTGAATTTCTCCTACTATTTTCTCTTGACCTTTATATTTACCACAATTTGCCTATTATCAGAGTTAATCAAGGACAATCACCTTACCCTCATTAGATTACATAAGGACTAAATTTGCTTCTTTGCAACTTCCACCAATTATTTTTAGTTCTGCATTCTCCTTTTAAACGAAACAAGCCAAATCCCTCTTTCACATAAGTCATTCAGATTCCTTTCCTCCTCTCTATATATGTCATGCCTACTTTCCATGTCTTACTGAGAAATATAATCAAATTAGTAATACCACTATTTCTGAAAACGATATGATCTTCACTTATTGTACTCTACTTCCCATTCTTATGGCTACCCAAACGAGATCTTTTGCCCAGCCACCGATCTCCTATATGCATTATCTACTTTACTGGAATGTAAACTTGTTGCTAGCAGGAACTCTCTCATTTTTATATTTGTATGCTCAACACCTAGTACTGTGTCAGATACATAGCAGTCATTTGATAAATTATTTTTCACTCATTTACTTTCTTTCCCATCTATATGTAATTTCCAAATTTTATATACATATATGATCTATGTCTTTATCTAAGTCATTAATAAAGATACTAAAGACAATAGTGACTTGAAACATTTTAATGAAGATAGTTTTTTAAATTGACATCATATCATTAAGAGCTACTTTTCATCCTTTCATTTAGATTAAATAAAAGTCCAAGGGACAGGTCATAGGAAGGTATGCAGAATTGGATCAAAAAAAAAGGTTTTATTGAATTTGGTAAACTTGGGCAAGAAACCTTAAACACCTCCTGTTCACCAAGCCCATACTTTTGAGCTTCAGGGAGAAGAGCTAACTGTGCTTTCTCCCTCAATTTGATGATCTACAACTGCTAATGCAAGGAATGCAGAAGGTGATCTTGTTAAAATTTGATTGGATAATAATAGCAAGAGCTAACATTTATGTAGCACTTTTTGGACCCTTTAAACTCTTAAAAATTAATAAGGAACCCAAGGAGCTTTTGTTTATGTGAGTTATATCTCAAAATTTGCCGTATTAGAAATTAAAACTGATAAATTTATTAAACATTTATAAGTATTAGTATCAGCTTTTTTATTTAATTTCAAATGCATGTTTTTCTTCTCTTCTTGTTCCCATTTGTGTTCATATATTTGAAAATCTGCACCTACCAATAAAAACCAAATAAAATTATTAACCAATATAAAAAAATATCACTAGGTATAAGCAATATAAATATAAATCACTATTGTTGTTCAATCCACTTGTTATGACCAGTGTCCTTCCATCACTCTCATAGGTAACCACGATGAAATAACATGGACAAAGGGAATTCCACAGCTGTGATTGAGTTTATACTGATTGGACTTTCTCAGTACCCAGGCCTCCAGATGTTTCTTTATGTGATTTGCCTAGTGATGTACCTGGTAATCCTTCTGGGAAACAGCTTCCTTATTATCATTAGCATTCTGGATTCCCGCCTTCATACCCCTATGTATTTTTTCCTTGGGAACCTCTCCTTCCTGGATATCTGCTATACATCTGCCTCTATTCCCCAAATTCTGATTAATTTTATGAGTGAGAGAAAATCCATTTCCTTCACTAGATGTGCACTTCAGATGTTTGTGTCCCTTGGATTGGGGTCCACAGAGTGTCTGCTGCTGGCAGTGATGGCCTATGACAGGTACATCGCCATCTGCAATCCCCTGAGATACACCATCATCATGAATAAAGAACTCTATGTGCAAATGGCTTCTTGGACTTGGATTATAGGGTGTCTGAACTCCCTGGTACAAACTACACTTGCTATGATGATGCCATTCTGTGGGAATATCATTGACCACATAACCTGTGAGATCCTGGCCCTTCTTAAACTTATTTGTGTAGACATTTCCCTCAATGTGTTTATCATGACAATTGCAAGTATTGTTTTCTTAATCACACCTCTGCTATTCATTTTCTTCTCATATGTTTTCATCCTCTCTACTATCCTGAGGATGAACTCACGTGAGGGGAGGAAAAAAGCCTTTTCTACCTGCTCAGCCCACCTGACAGTGGTGATCTTGTTCTATGGATCTGCTCTTTTCATGTACATGAAGCCCAAGTCCAAGGAATCCAAGACTTCTGATGATATCATTTCACTGTCCTATGGAGTGATTACCCCAATGCTGAACCCCATCATCTACAGCCTGAGGAACAAGGAGATAAAAGGAGCTGTGGAGAAGATTCTATTGAGAAATCTATTCTTAAGAAAAATATGAAAAAGTCTGAGGTTTTCAGTTCCTTTCTTTTGCAGGGTGGACTCATTCCTTTGCATCCAACAGTAGCACTGCTCTTCCTGGAAACAGGAAGTGTGAGTATTACTACAAAGCAGAATGTATGATTTTCTCTCTTTTTTACACATGTAACAAATATCTGAAATACAGTATCTCTCAACTCATTAGGTTTCTGTACTTGGTAGTTTTGCCACTCTGTAGCCTGGGGTTTATGGTTATCTTTCATTAAAATAAGTCACATACATTTAAACTGTGTGAGCATGAGCTGAAGACGAAAAATTTTTAAATTTCCTATTGAAGAATATAAAATTGAGAAGAATTATTAGAAACTGTTCTTAAAATACTTAAACTCAAATGCTATAAATCACTATTGATCAAAGAAATACAAGTTTAAACAACTCTGAGGTACCTTACATCTATCAGATTGACTAATATGACAGAAAAGAAAAAGGAGAAATGTTGGAGGGGATGTGGGAAAATTGGGACACAAATGCACTATTGGTGAGGTTGTGAAGTGATCCAACCATTTTGGAGAGCAACTTGGAAAATATGCCCAAAGGGCTATAAAACTTTGATCCAAGAATACCACCACTAGGCCTGTATCCCAAAGAAATTAAAAAAAAATAGAAAAGGATCTGTATGTATAACACATTTATAGCAGCTCTTTTAGTGATGGCAAAGAATTAGAAATTGAGGGGATACCTTTCAACTGGGGAATGGCTGAACAAGTTGTGGTACATGATTGTGATGGAATACTATTGTGCTGTAAGAAATTATGAGCAGGATGCCCTCAGTAAAACCTGGAAAGACTTGTATGAACTGATGCAGTTAAATGCACAGAACCAGGAGAACACTGTACACAGTAACAGCAATATTGTACAATGATCAACTGTGACCAACTTAGCTATTTTCAGCAATACAATGATCCAAGAAAATTCCAAAAGACACATGATAAAAAATGCTATCTACATCCAGAGAAAGAACTGTTGGAGTCTGAATGCAGAGGGAAGCATACTTTTTTTTATTTTATTTTTTATGGGGTTTTTTGTTGGTGTCTTTTTTCACAACATGACTAATGTGGAAATAGTTTTGCTTGATTGGACACATATAACCTATATCAAATTGTTTATCATCTTGGAGAGGGGAGGCAGAGAATTTGAAACTCAATTTTTTTAAATGAATGTTAAAATTTTTTATAAAATTGGTAAAATATAACACTATCTTCAATAGTCTCTCCACAATTCTGTTACTTTATCTCTTAGAGGGAATAAACCTATGAAAGATAGTCTGCTTTATTTTAATATGGTAGTTTATTAACTATGGTATCTAGAGGGAGAATGAATAAGATATAGAGATAAAGGACTCTGAGAACTTCTTTAATTAGGATCTGAGGTAAGAACATTATGAAGAGAATCCTCGAAATGCTTTTGCTGCTATGCTTAGATGGCTGAACGGTGAGACTATGTTCATAGAATTCAGAAGTCAATAGCAGCAGTGATACAGGTAATTTTGACCATGATAACTTTCATTTAAGACACATTGGAATGGAGATAGATAGATAGATAGATAGATAGATAGATAGATAGATAGATAGA